TTAATTGTCAACTCACAGCTGTTGATTGTGCTTCATTAGTTACTGTAATTGAGAATCAAGGTAAAAACATTTCACATTTACGATTGATGAGCAATAACATTGGCCCTTTGGGCTGTTTAGAGATTTGTAAATTGTTAAAATGTAGGAATTCTCAACTGAGCTGGTTACACCTCACATACAATCAATTGACAGATGAAGGAGCAAAGTATTTAGCTGACGCCATCAGAGACAACAACTGTCAGCTACGCTGGTTAGACCTCAGCATCAATAACATCAGAGACAAAGGAGCACAGCACTTGGCTGAAGCCATCAGCAACGAAAACTGTCAGCTATGCACGTTATCACTCGCATTGAATAACATCACAGACAAAGGAGCACAGCACTTGGCTGACGCCATCAGCAACGAAAACTGTCAGCTACACACGTTAGACCTCACACACAATAACATCACAGACAAAGGAGCACAGCACTTGGCTGACGCCATCAGCAACGAAAACTGTCAGCTACGCGCGTTATCCCTCTACGGCAATAACATCACAGACTAAGGAGCACAGCACTTGGCTGAAGCCATCAGCAACGAAAACTGTCAGCTATACACGTTATTCCTCAACAACAATAACATCACAGACAAAGGAGCACAGCACTTGGCTGAAGCCATCAACAACGAAAACTGTCAGCTACGCTCGTTAGACCTCGCACAGAATAACATCACAGACAAAGTAGCACAGCAGTTGGCTGAAGCCATCTACAACGAAAACTGTCAGCTACGCACCTTACGCCTCGCAGAAAATAACCTCATACATCAAGGTATGCATCGCTAATTTCACAAATAATTGACAAAACGGGAAAAAAAAATTATAGTAACAACTTACAATTTTCAAATGTGAGGTAACCAGCTCAGTGACACTACAACCCAACGAGTAAAGAGCGAAAATGTAAGAAAACTAATATTATGATGCCCTGACAGCAGAGAGATTAATTGAATCGGATCGAAATGAAAAAAATGAACCAATGAAGATGTTTATTGACAGCAAAGGATGTCGAACCAATGACAATGAAGTAAAAATACAAAGCTTACTGCAGAGAAAACAGACAAAGCTCGGACCTCTCAGGAAACTTTGTCATTCTATGATTGGTTAGTTTCGATCCCAAATTTATTGCATGCTTCTGTATTTTTGATGACATTATGTTTGTCACAACAATTAGTTTTAACTTAAGGTTATTGAAGTTAGTAGGGGATTACAAGCCGATCAAATGAGGAAATACGGTACAGATTACTCGCTAGTATAAAAAGTTTCTTTCATTTTTCTTTTTTTTTCTGTTAAAGCGATCCGGTTCAAGTAGTTTCATACTTTTTTGTAGATAAGTGATGCGAGAATTGTACCAACAATCCTTTTGAGGTTTCTACCATTTGTTGTAAATATTAGAGTGTTTTGTACATATTTTGGGCCTATTCCTATTATCATGATACAATGTAAGGTATATTGAGACTTAGCTAATGAAGATGTAGTGCATCTAACAGTGATGATCACTCATCTTCATAGATTGATCCACAGTTCAAAGATATGATATTCCTATATTGACAATTGCTCAAGACTTAAACAGCAGAGAACTCACTCACCAGTGAATTTTGTAAATAAGGACAGAACTCCTAAGTTTATCAAATGAATGTGGAATAAATCACATATTAACAGATTTATACTGTGTTGTAATCAATTCATGATCAGCCCCTATGGTTAGGCTTGCCAGATTGGGGGAAGGGGGTTGGAGCCTTCTCAATATCAAAAATGACCTGAAATAACTTATCTGAAGAACATGCCTCAAGTCCTCTGTAGAAGTTCCCCTCTGAGTAGTGCCCTCTCTTCAGCAGGGAAAGCATCCCTAAAATCAACCTTTCCTTATCTCAGATCGAAATACAAAATTATTCCAACCCTATTTTAAACCTGCATCAAAATTCCACAACCTGTCATAAACCAATGATGAAACATCCCAAAAAAAGTTTAATAAAAGTTGGCTGGCCTTATTTCCTCAAATAAGTCATAGAGCCTGAGCAGTTATTCAAAATTTTGGGCAAAATTATTCATGTATGTTTTGGGATATTTTTGGTATTGGATCAACTAATAATCCCCTAACTGATATTTTTCTTTTCTTCTCATTACTTGTCTGCTTGATATTATATTGATAATGTAAGGAGAAATCCTTTCTTGGTCACTCATGGGAGTTAAAGGGTGAACACAATTGAGAATTGCTTCACCCCATTTTAATCAAGTTTCCTTTACAAGTTAACAAACATTCAAAACCCTATGTACATGTACATGCAAATCTGTCACTTACAATTTCAAATAACTTTTGTCTACAAGTGCATATTTGTAACATAAATGATATCACTCTGGTTTCTCTTCTCTGAGGCTCTACAGCAATTAACTTCAGAGATCCAACTTTTAATTCTCCCCTCTGGATACTATATGTTCCATTGTAAATTAGTCTCACGAATTTGGAGTTGGATCAAGAAAAAACCCCCGATAGGTACTGTATTCTCGTTACCTTCTGCTGGAAAATGTATGGATATGATACGGAGAAGTTACATGTTGATCTCCTCTGAGAAGTAAAGGTTTAAGACATACCTGAAATAGGAATTCTTTTCTCAAAATAAACAAATTGGCTGAGCAAAAAGAACAATGATATGGTTCTAAGTCTGGTTCTAAATACACTCAGTTTTGTTTACAGTAAAAAAAAGAAATATCATAATTCCATCAAGGACATTTATTTAGCTCTACTTTCCAACAGGAACATAGGAAAAGAGAGGGCTGCAAGTTCAAAGAGAGGGGGGTGGAGAGAGTGGAGGAGCAAGTGGGAAGGGGTATTGCAAAGGTAACAAAAGTGGTGAAAATAATGATGATGATAATAATAACAGCTGTAATGATGATGATGATGGTAACTAAGAGGAGACAAGATTGAGCCGCAATGGTCCATGCATTGTCACCCACATCACACTAAAATTGAATCTTCAAATATTTGTTATGTAGTACACATTTTAGTGTCAACCACCAAACTCAGAAACCATCATAAGGTCATCTCACATCAATTTCTGATTATGAAATCTGAGCTCACCCAATGTAGTCTTGGTGATGAAGGCTATATTTACCACTTAGACTCACCAAATAGTGAAGAAAGGAACACCTCCTTCATTTTTGTTCATGAATTTGTAAAAGCATTTAAATATTTGCATTTTTTTGTTAGTACTAAACTCAATGAAGGTAATCATGCCAAAAACTATTAAAAATATTCCGAATTTCTGATTAAATTTAATGCAATTTAGTTCAGAGTTGAAGTGAAATGCTATTTCTTCTTAAAAAACGGTTATCATTAAAAAATTTTACATCACCTTGAATCAAGATTTTTCATATGAACATCTTGTATGAAGCAAGATTACTTTGTCTACAAAGATAATCCATCACTGGTCTCACCCAATAATTTTTTATGTGTTCTCTATCTGCAATTTTCCATAATATCAATGAAAACATTTTATGCAACATTGTAATGATTATAATATTTAAAGAAGGATTTTCACCTCTAAATGCAAGCGCATACACACCCTAGGTAAAAGTCGATGAGATACACAGTTTCTTATGAATATGTTTCCTATTCATTGGCATTTTGTTGCCTTCCATTCTGATTAGCACTGCAAAAAGCTTGGCTCAGGTTTTTCCTTGCATAATTTTCTTCCCCTATCTCCATTCAAACTCAAAGAACCCAACAAGGAAAATGTTTAATGATGTAGTAGACACAAAAGAAGCATTTTGGGGGTAATGAAGATGGCAAATAAAAAAAACTCTTGTGCTGAGAACATTTGCTTTGTTTATGACACCAAAGGTTTAACTCTTTCAATTATAAATGCAGACAATACTTTAAATCTGTTCCTTTTATTCCACTTAATTAAAAAAAAAAATTACCCTGAAACATACTCTACTTGTCACATTCTTGTCAGAAACAAACCTAAATAAAACCACAAGACTTGCCAATATAATATCAAATTTTAGCTTTCATTTGACTCTGGCTATTAAACTGAAAGCGTTTGTTGGGTTTATCCACCAGAGCTTTAGATGTCAGTTGTTTTTCCCCAAATTCAGATATTTCAAATTTGGATAATTGGGAAAAAATAAGTTCTGATCAGGTCAACTTCAATGTCAGTTGCAGCTGATGTAAATGATAAAGGAAAGTAGTTCTTAATGCTGTTCACCAAACTTTACAAGCTTGCCACTGGATGGTTCAAGTGTTAGTTTCAGGTTAGTTTTGTGTTTTTCTTCCCATGCTATGATCTGTTAGTCATTCACTTCCTATACTGGCAATTCTCTAAACAGTCAGATGAATGTTTTTGTTGCTTTTAACTTTCACTTGGTTTCTCCCCCTGCTTTATTTCTTGACTTTCAACTGGTTTCTTAGGAATTGTGTCATCCGCTCTTGCAGGCTGCCAATATGGAGAGAAAAATAGAAGTCAATTGGTGCCTTCATTCCCCTGTAATAACCCAAAAGACCACCAGTAAGCCATAAATATATACACTAATAATAAGGTGGTTGCATCAAATATAGAGTTACGTTAGGTTGTGAAACAGAATGATAATAATTGAGTTGCATGTTCAGTGGAGTGTGTAGTAAAGAATTAGAATTAATTATCGTAATTGCAAATTTGCCTCGACTACGCACGGCAGGAAAATGAGGTCACGTGACTTATAATTTAAAAGGAACAATTTATGCTGTAACAACATTCGAGGCTGGTCATCAATGGTCGTAAACGTAAGCATCAAGATTAAGCATTGAGATAGTGAATCAAGGGATCCAACTACTCTGAAACACAAATTGTTACAAAACCATTTGTCGCTTCGACTAAGAATATTGTAAATAATAATGTATCCCAAAATTATTTAATTTTCAGTTGACTGCGACGTAACCACGGATGTAACGAGCCATGTTCACTCTAGTACAAATAAAACCTGACAACGTTGATCCTTGGTGGGCTAATCTTCAAAATAAGTAGCACCTTCAACCATACGAGCGAATCACTAATTGTAAATGGTACACTGTTGATACCACGAAAAGTTCAGTATAATTAAAACTTATCTTGATTATTTCACCATAGTCAAATGGGTAGAATTCAGATAATTCTTCATAACTGAAATAATTTTATCACAGGACAGAGATAGGTGAGGGAGTTTTTTCTATTGAACCCATTCAACTAGTCATATAGGTCAAAATAAGAATCTATAGAAAGTAACCCCTATTGAATCTAGAAACTTTTCATTGGTTCAAATAAAAAGGTGGGCAGATTGTCATTGGTTTCAAAACTAATGGAATGACAGGGTTAAATAAAACTGGATATAACATTTATTTGGTGGTGAAGCCACATTTCACTCAAGAAATTGCTGCCAAAAGGCTAAACACTATATTTGGACATGTTGATCGAAAGAACTTTATCCAACTCAAACCAATTCCTTGATCTTCATCCAAAACATACATCACTTAGAAAATAGAACACCAGGCAACACACCATAAAGGAAGCCTTTTCTATCCTTGCTGGATCAGGTCTCCCTTGACTCCCAAACCAGTCCTTCTCTTACATGTGAAACATACATTAAAATTGTATACATTGTGTAGAATAAGTCCTCACCCCAAAAAAATATAAAGGAAAAGAATTTATAAAATAAAAATAATGGATTAAAAGAAATACAAAAATATTACTTGTAGCCAATTTTTAGTAATAATTTAGTGCAATTAGCCCCTGTGATTTAAGTTTTTTAAAACTATACAAAAAACATACACTGTGTAACTTGCAATAACATCGTATGTAGCATTAGCATTGTGATATAAATAGTGTTTACTTAGTGTTTTTAAGTTAAGTAACAGTATTGTACACAAGGTATCATAATTGTAATTTGCACAAAAAAAAAAAAAAAGAAATCACCTTGGCTGGCCAAGACTTTCTAGTGTCGCTAAATAACCAGAATAAAGAGAAAAATGCTTTGTCTTGATGGTTAAGCACTTCCTGTGACACCTTTTTCATTTCCTTTGACCTACCTTGAAAGGGGGTCGTCTCTCACCACCATCACCAGGCCTGCCCCAAAAAGGCCTTCCCCAATGAGGCCTTCCAAATGGAGGTCCAGGGGGACCCTGCCAGTACAACTGGTGTCTACAGTTTGAATATCCAGCTCCAAGGCCTACACCAATACCTAATGTGACAGGCCATGCAGCCCCTTCATATAAAAGGAAGAAAATATGTTAGAATATTAGAAGATGCTACAATAATTTTTATAAAGAAAGATCCAAACAATAGATTCCAACCCATCATCCTGTTAAGTCTTGTTTGTCTTATTTGTAGGAAATATTCCACAGTGCAAGAGGTAAATTTTCCTTCGTTTGACTAATTAGCTTCATTTAAGCTTTGATGATAGTAACATTGTAGATGAGCTTTTCATTTTTTGTGAAGATGCTTTGGGTGTAGAAGTGCCTAAGTCATTTAAAACCCTTACACCCTTCAACTCCTGTTGGTGACCAAGAGCGAATTTCTCCTTACTATAAAAATACAATATAAAGAAGACAAGGGAGAGGAATGAAGAAAAATATCAACTAGTGGATCTTAAAGTTGATCCAATACCAAATTCTCCAAAATCATATCATAATAATTGTGTGGCAGACAGTAAGGAGAATCACTAATGAGATCTTTGGAGTGAAGAGTTGATACCAGTGATTTCATGTCTGGGAACACATCGTCTTTAACAATATTGGTGTTGAGTCAAAATTGGAATCCTGTAACGAGAAGGAATTTCACAACAATAACCCTCAAGGCTAGTTTTCAGAAGAATACAAGAATTTTACAATTCTCAAAGAGTTTAAAGCTTCTGCATAAGCTTACACTTAAACTTTGGTTTCTCCGGACTTACTTTTGAAGAACAATAACGAAAGTACACCGCCAAACACGGCTCCACCGACTGAAAAAAAAAACGTGTGAGATAAATTCAACGACCTCTTATCAGAATTATTTTCTACCTCTTCTTGATTTTTAAAATACCAGTTTTAAACGTTGTATCTACAAGGCACCGATCCCATTTTCTTCCCAACTCTTCTTCGCTTGGCCGTCTGGGCGCCATTTTGAATCATCAAGGCGCCCGCAGGCTGGTTTATACAGCTGAATTAATTTCAACGCATGCGAATAGTCAAGTACCCCCTGCATTGCCACATGTGTCCTCTTTCTTTCTCTCTTGAGCCATCATGCCGGCGGTGAGAATTAATTAAGAGTTTTACCCTTTTTTACCATATTTAAACGCGTTTAACTACTGATGTATGAGATGAAATTTAAGAGAACGTTTTTTTCTTCATTTTGAGTACCTTTTTGGGGCGTTCTAACCATTATTAAACCGACACGTCTTCATCGAAATTATAGCATGTACTGAATATAATTTTTTTAACTCCTCGATACATGTTTAGAAGTTTTGTCGTTAATTTAAGTGTTCCCGAGCTGATTCTTGCGGCTTATATGTGATTAGTTTAAAGTAACATCGTTTTTGCTTAGAAAGATTTGTTCACGCGAAACCTTGTCTCAGGAAACCATGTAGATATCTCAGATAATTTGTTGAAGAAGGACGTGAAAGAATTAGTGGTCTCAGGGTTGGTCAGAAAATGTACTCCCTTAGTAGAAAACGGTTCTTGCATGTTAATTAACTCTTAATTTACATATAAACCAATAGTAAGGAAACATACGGGGAGAAAGTGGATGAAAAATATGTATTCCCAATTTCTTGGTCATAATTTCATCCTTAACCCATTCCCAAAATCTGATTGCTAAATCTCCCCTCTAGTTTCCACACATTTCCTTGTAAATTAAAGAAGTGAGATCAAGAAAACATTCTTAACCTTATAAGTTTGAGTATTCTTATTGCTCTGTTAGGACCATTAATAATAATAATATAATAGTAAGGGAGGTTTCTCTCCGGGTACTCCGGTCTTTCCCTCTCCTCACTAACCATCATCATTTGAAGCTATTTAATTTAGAGTTTATTTGCATTTACACACGATCCCACAAGCTGTTCAGCTTTAAACATTATTGTGTCTAAATAAAGGTGTTATTATTATTATTATTATTATTATGTTTGCTGGGTAATGTATGGATATTATAGAATTTACATGTTAATCAATTCTGCAAGTTAAAAGGTTGACTGTTACTGTATTTATTGCCACTGTTGATTGAATCTCTCTTGTTTAATTTTTACGCAGAAAAAGAAGCAACAGAAGAAAAAAACACAGTTGAAGTTCACTGTGGACTGTACTCATCCAGTTGAAGATGGCATCATGGATGTAGCCAACTTTGTGAGTAATGATCTTATTGTTTTCATAACTTTCCAAAACTATGGTAGGACAGATGAATAAATAGAGTAAGTTTCATAAGAGGCACTAAACTTAAGCAAAATTTTTTTAAAAGCAGGTGGCACCTTAATTCCTTTGCATCCATAGCCAGCCACCTTTAGAATACTCTACCACATAATACTAGAATAACTGGTTCTGAGAATACTTTTAGAAGTATAATAAACTAATAAAACCTTGTACCATTTTATTTATCACTAAGCACCATAATAAGAATTTGTTATTGTGCGGTGCACATGATTATTTATAGTCCTTTATACTTAAGTAATTTTCATTATTTTCAGTATTTTGCAATTGCACTTGCGTATTGTAAACGAGTATGCAAAATGCTCCTAGGTGTTAAGTGGATAAATAAACTATCTTTTCTTATCTAAGAAACATTGTTGCTCTGATCAAGGGTAAACCCTTGAAATTTCAGCTCTAAGAACTCTTTACATTGGTCAATTTACATTTTCAGTTTAGTTTCTAAAACCAAAATATATTGCAGGGCAAGTTAATTGTGAATGTGGTACAATGTTCTAGCTGTGGCAGAGTAACTGTAGGGCTGCCAATTTTGGAAAAGATGTGAAAACCTCAAGGCAAAAAAAAAAAAATTCAGTATCTTGGGGTTTGCTTCTTTGTCTACCAGAAAATATGAATGTAACAGTGGTATTTTTTTTGAACATGGAAACCGAAAAAAAAAGCTTATTAAAAATTTTAATGGCTTGTCTCTGTTGACTGAAAACCTTTTCAGATAAATTGCACCATCACGAGTGCTTATCTAGGGACTGGAATATATTTCTTCTCTGGAAAAATAGATCAATGATTTTTTTTTTTTTAAGATGTGAGAAGGTTATTCTTAAGTTCTTAACAATTTTCCTTTTTTTGCAGTGTTAAATTCAAGTAAAATACAGCCCTCAAATATTTCTCTGCAGTTATTAAATGCTGCTTAATAACCTTTTTTGTAGAGAAAACAATGAGGGTAGGAAAGAAATTTAATTGGTTTGCCATGCTTAGGGCCACCTTCCCTAAGAGCCACATTTTTGTCTTCTAGGAACAGTTTCTCCATGAGAGGATTAAAGTTGGTGGCAAGACCAATAATTTTGGCAGTGATGTGTCCATTGATCGTCAGAAGAACAAGATCACTGTTGTTTCTGACATTCCGTTCTCCAAAAGGTGAGTTTGGTGGCTCAAATGTGTAACAAATTTTCTTAACATGCAACTTGTGTTCTCAAGAATTCCTATTTCCTTCAGCTATTACGATACGTATCATGAAATTTGACAAGTTTTCTTCAAAGGTTGGAATTGAACTAAAACTCATGATTTTTCATTGCTAAGCCTCCCTGACCCCTACCCTCCTTAATAACCCCTAACCATTGCACAATTTTCCACTATTGACCTAACCTAGGATGTTTTTATGGTTCAAAGTGTTAGCTGAAGTGTAGGAAGCAATCTTTTTCAGACCTCATTCATGCAAAAAAATTATAACATCTACTTTTGACTGTTTATTTTTTTTTTTTCCCATATCAACCTGTACGTAAGTTAAAAAAGTTTTGAGAATTTGTTAAAATATCACATTTTTACATACTTATTAAGGGGACAGGCACTTCATTCTTAGCTAGAAACGTGCTCAAACAAGTAAGAATTCTTTAATGTTGGTCCTACCTAGGAAGGTATCTATAGTTGCGTCATCACATCTGGTTTTAACTTTCTCCAACTTAAAGTGATTACCACAGCCAAACCAGCTTTCAAATTAGAAATTACGTGAAAGAGATTTCCATGAATGAAAGCAAGCGGTGATAGATTCAGCTACACGACTGTCTTTGTATGATGCCAGAGTTGCTGTAATAAAATGACTGAATCCAGCTGCATTTGTTGTAGGTATCTTAAGTATCTGACTAAGAAGTACCTGAAGAAGAACAATCTTCGTGACTGGCTGCGAGTTGTATCATCTGCACAAGCTACCTATGAGCTGAGGTACTTCCAGATCAACAATGAAGACGAAGATGAGGAGGGCGAAGATGAATCGTAAAGATTAGTCTTGTAACTCTAATTGAATGTCTTGAATAAACAGACGTCAAAATCAAATGCGTTGTTGTAGTTCTTTTGTCATTGAATGCAAATTTTCTTTGGTGTGGCTCAAACAGACATTGGCTTTTGCCAGAGTAATACTTGAATGAATATTGTTTCAGTCATTAAAGTATGATACAGTATTTCCTTGAATAAGCACTCACATTATTGATTAAAATTTCAGCTTAAAGGAGAGGGGCTCTTATTGGAAGGAGCAGTCTTAATCAAGAAGGGCACTTGGCTGAGTTTTCCTTTTAACAAACTGTAACTTGAGTTTGGCTAGATCTTAGATCTTAAAGAGAAAAAACAAAACCTACAAAACTATTCACTTTGATGTAAAGTCAATATGGAAATAGAAATAACTGGAAATGACTTACTAGCAACAAATGGACCACAATAGCAATGCATACTCATTGGCTTGATCATAGGAACCTTAACAGTGCCATGTGGCACTTCAGATTTCAGTGTAAAAACAGGGGAGTGCTAGATGGCACTCCTATGGGGTAAAGATTACAGATGAAATGCAAATGTTTATGTACCGAATAGTTTTTTTTTTCTATCACTCAAGCTAAACAAATACAGTAAAAAGTCCTGCGTTGACAATAAATGCACATATAGTGTGTGAATTCCCTTGGTGGACCAAATTCTATCACAGTAGTACGTGAGTAGCTCTACTCCATCATCTAAACTTGACCTTTGCCACTATTTGATTCTATTTTGTAAAGGGGTGGTTTATACTTAACAATTACCGTATTCACCGAAGGCTAGGTGAATATCGTCGAATAATCCCCGAGACGAAGTCGAGGGGACCTTTGAGATTGCTCAGCTCTGAAATTATACTAATTATCAATAGTTCTTTAGTATTACATGGAAATCAAAACTATATATGATGAAGTTCTTGAAAGTGACTGGTTATCACCAGCCCAAGTTGAGCACTAATAGGACATGTACAGTGTCATGCCTGTAGCTGGACAGTACATGTGCTTTCCCATGTGCCACTACTGTTATGCATTTTGTTGACTTGTAATTAATAAGAAGGATTTCCATTATGTATTCTCCTTAATTTGTTAATCACTTTTATAACTAGACACAAATGAATTTATCCACTCAGTGCTGTTACGATTAGAATTTTAATTCTGTAAATCGTGTAGAGTTTAGTAATGTCTTGTCTTATCAGGCGTGGGTGTAAGATCAAACTTCCACTGAACAAGGTCTCTACAAGTTTCTAATCCATCCAGATTAGAAACTTGGTTTTCGATCAGAGTATTCTCACTACCTCTATACTGAATAATGTATAGATATTAAGGGGATATGTTGCATGTCAATCACTTCTTAAATTGACCGTAACGCTTAGTTGTTAAATATTTTTTCCACCAAAATTTTAAAATTTGACTTGCATTTTGGAACGTATGAAACAGTTCGATATATAATTTGGGGAAAAATTATGCAATTTCAAACAAGATCGACTCAAAACGTTCTTCAAGTCGTTCCATCAAGTCATAATTTGCATCATCGGGTAACGGGCTTTGTGCAGCCTGTCTGCTATATCTTTTTTATTCCCTTCGTTAATTGTTTTTTTTTTATTTTTATTTCTCCAATTTAAAGGGGATAATTTATTCAGCAATATTATGCAATACAAAATAGAGGCCACTGTGTTTTTTCAAGAGCTACAACCCATCGTTCTTCTCCACTTGGTCCATTGGCTGGAAATTAAAAGAGACCGTGAGTTAACCTAGTCTCCCTCGCAGCCGTTTTTTTGGATGTCACGCAACGCTCACTAATGAGATCTT